GACAACACCAGAAATAAGATTTACATATGCAACAACAGGGTCTGTACTTGCACTAGGGTAACAAATACTACAAACATGTAATGACTAAATTGTTCTTGGCTTCATTCCCACCAGACATTAGCTTTAGATGATCTAATTTAAGATCATGCTCTCTTGATGGCATTTAGTCCATTACATTGCAAAACATCAGATACTACAGTAAGGGGATTTATAAAACTGGATCTAAAAAAAAACAAGGCATGGTGAACATTCCATTTTTACTAGTCTATTCAATAACTACTCTGATTTTGAAATACTGTGGTATCATCATTACTAGGAAGAAAATGCAGCCCTGTTAGCAACCAAGAAAAAATTTAAAATCCTGCTGGAGTGACATAATACAGATGAGAATGGATTTTCACTGAAGGTACCAGGGTTAGGGCAAGGTAAGACATATAACATTTAACCATTTCTCATGCAAGTCAGGGGAATCAGGCCAGATCCAACCCATGGAGCTGTGTTGCAAAGCTCTCAGGGGCTTGTGAATTTAGAGGCAAGGCAAGCAGGGGCAGGGCCTGCCAAAATCTGGGACACAGAATCCCATTGGCCATGCACATCACTGGCAGGGAGGCAAGCCATAGCTGTTAATACCCGTGACTGCTACTACAATGGTCTGGATTAGGCCCAGGGGGGCAGGGTGAGTCTAACCCCATGATAAATTGAGTTAACATCCTTTAGATCAGCAGCGCAAACTAGCACAGCTTTCTCTGAAGGCAGGCTGCCACCAAGGTGCCAGTAATAAGGCTTGCAACCTGGATCAGTTCCCTACTTCTTTGCTTGCTGGCACTCAGCCCTGTCTCCTCCATACAGAGAGCTGCTTTCTTATCCCCTGCTGCAGCTTCCTTCTATCCTAGCTGATATTCTCTCTGGTACCTCCAACACATCTACACTGCATGTAGACTGCCAATGTCCAAACAGAAGGGGGGCAGGGGTTTAAGCCTTATTCCAACAATGCAATTCATTTACAAGTCATGTAATATCTCATTCCTTTAATACTGCTGAGGAATGCCATTGTTTTGTTCATGTATGCCATGGTATTGTTCAAAGCCTAGTTAACCTAGACAGGTTTGTAGACGTTTGGCTAGACAGTGACCTACCTAGACAGCTGGGGCATAACATGCAGTTTTGTAAAGAAAGAAGTCCTCAGATGAGAATTACTAGACAAAATGTTGACTAAATGTATTATCTGGCTGTTCAAACAATGTTTTCTAGCTTTATATCAGAAAGCACTTTAAGAGTCAGTATCATTTCTATTTTTCAAATGTGGAAAATAAAAAGATGAAGTTAGAAAAGGGAAAAGCAGGAGAAGTAAACAGTTAAAAGGTCCAATCATGCAGACCTTGTTAATGCAAAATTCACCCCTACCCCAGTAAGTTTACTGGAGTAAAAAGATACTGGATTGAGCAAATTACAGTAAATGTTCATCTAAGAAACAATGACTCCCATCAAGGATAGACTTGAACAGTGTTCCTACGAGGACAACAGGAGTAGGAAGTTGGTTCAAGTGACTGGCTTTTAAAAAAAAGAAAAAACTTTCCTCTTACAATTGAGAGCATTCCTGGAAAAATGCCTTAGAAGCCAAATCATTTCCAAAAGTGCCAAGGCTATTAGGACTTTGGCACTCATGAACATGTTATATCGGTACTTCCCAGACAGCTCCAACCTTGCTTCTCCATTTCAGTTAAGTATTTACCTGCACTAGAGGTGCATCTTTAAAAGACAAGTGCTTACCATGTAACTGCTACTTGTTGAAAAGCCACAGCAAAAAACAAAAACAGATTCACGCAGGCACAAGGATAAGTAAGAAAATCAACTGCATAAGTGTTTAAACCTCTAATTTTGAGGAATTGAGAGCACACTCAAAAGGGAATCTAAATAATTAAGAAAACACAAGTTAGACTTCACGTAAGAAACAGCAGTAACATTGCAAGCTCCCTTGCATATTTCATTGATAGGTTCAGATTTACTAATATGCCCAGGACTCTTTTCCAGGAGGTAGCTAGAGCAGGGGGAGGACGGTAAAGAAATTTTCAAATGTATAACCTAACTTGGTGGTTCTCAACCTTTGAAAGCTCAAGGCACCCCTCAGGAAGTGGCAGCTCAGTTTTCATTCATCATAGATAAGGCAGGGGGTGGAAGCAATACCACTGCAAAGAACTCAGAAGCTACAAGTCAAAATGTTTTGCCAGCATAAATTCCCATTTGAAATCTGAGTTTACCTTGTAAATCATGTTTGTACACCTAACAGTGCTAACACAGCATGGTACACAGCAGCACCTTTGAAAGGATCTCACAGCACCCCACAGTGTTGCAGCTTCCTGATCGAGAACCACTGGCTTAACTTAAGGAATCTGAAAGAAAGGATAGACTTTTTTTTAAGCCAAACAGAAACCCAACATTGCTGCCACAACAGTCACATACAGCCAGCAAGTAAATTTAACTTCGTTACACCAAAGAAGGTAAAACATGTGAAGGCACAGTAATGTTATCTTCACCATCTACTTAAGGGTACAGCAGGAATGATTTCTGGGTGAAGCTTGTGCTCTCCACCTCTCCCCTATAACTAGTTTGCCAGAAGTCAGAATATAAATTTGTCCTCCTCAGGATAGAAAGACAGCTAATCTAGTCAAACTTTCTGGGGAAAGAAAGCCTCTCTTCAGAGATTTGTGTCTCCCTGCAAAGTCTAGGTTTTATTCCTTACAGCATACAAAGGGGCCAATACAATAATCCACTCAGACCCACATCTTCTCCCCTTGCACAGACAAGTAATTAAAAAGAAAGCCTTGCAATTACATAACATATATTGAAATAGGAGTCATCTTTACCTCTGGTGCCATGGCAGGCAATAGTTCCATTTTGGCCATTTAATACAAGACTCGTGCTTTAGTACAAAAATAATATTTATATTAGGAGATATTACAGAGGTAGGCAACCTCCAGCACATGTGCCAGAACACAGCATGCAATGGCATTTTGCTTGGCATGTACACCTCAAGGAAGGGGCAGGGGCAGTGCTGCCACAACTAGGATCAGGCTCCTTGCAGCTCCCCCACCATCTGCCCCTGGCATCCTAGCATATTACAAGTTGAGGCTGTGGGTGTTTTTTGGCACTCTGCCCAAAAATGCTGCTGACCCCTGGTGCATTAGGATTACTGCAAGCCATTTTAAAAGCAAATGGAGTAGCTAAAAAAAAATTCTCAGCTATAATAACAAGTGGAGATTAATTTCTGTTCAAGTTTAAAGCACTTTACACCATTGTCTTTCATACTTCATAAACAAAAAGACAGAGTAATTTAAACTTATAATGCACAGCCTCCTCAACAATACACCCCTCATTTAAAAAAAAAAGTAAAGAAGCAGGCAGAGAAGGGCAGGACTGGATCAGACACCATCTATATTTGAAGACGACTAAATACATTCAACATGCATGGCATTTAAGGAATAAGACTTCACTGAAACCATTACCTTGATCAGAGTATTTTATTTTGCTGACCTCAAAGCTCACAAGCCAGCACTTAAGATAGCAACTGGCAATTCACCATGCAAATTATCTTCCATCTGAAATAATAAAATTTTAATGCAATATCCAAGAGTCAATTATTTTTCTAACCTTTGGCAAACATCTGAATTCTATTCCATCCAAGTAGTGATGTTACTGGTAACGTTAAAAACCTCATTTTTTTGTACGAGCTACAGCAGGTAACTGGTATTCAAGTACATCATTTACAACAAGAACACTCAATGTTATGAAAAAAAATCAAAGCATTGTATAGCCCTTCCTTTGCTTTTACAGGTTTAGGTCAAGCCAAAACAACACAGGAAAAGTTCTTTTACAAGAGCAGTATATACAGAGGTCAACTCAGCATTTTAAAAATGAAGTTCAATTCATAATAGTATCCATCCTGACACTGACTGTTTGGTGTTCAAGCAGGAAGCTATTGAGAGGGGTGAATATATTCTTCTACCATGAAAGGCAGCAATAGCCAGTGTGTCTAAGCCATGCAAGTATCATCCGTCTATTTTGTGCACCAATGTTTAAGGAAGTGTTTACCAAGCCTACTCACATCCAGCAAATTCAGTTTTTACAAGCTTCACACTCATTTAAGTTACTAGCATTAGCGAGTTGCTAAACAGAACCCTGGACACTGATGTAATTTATCCACAGAACCATACGGTCATGGACAGTGGCTTCCATACCCTACCTGGTAGACAGCTTCAACTCTGGAGACAAAAAGGAAGATCACTGGCATACACAGTGCTAGTTTATGCATACTCTTGCCCACTAAACTTACACATGCTACTGAGCAGACTTCATTGTGTTAACTTTGATCTTTCAAATTCATATCTGTATGTGTTTAAAACAGTGATCTATAGTTATGTGCAAGCTGAAGTGTACAACTTGACCAAGACCTAACATTAAATTCTAGAAAACTTACACAGAATAATTTGCTAGCTAGTTTCAATATATATTTGGCAATATTAATATCTTTGTTTAAAAAAGCCTTATTTCAGAAATACAACATATTAGTTGTCATGGATCATTAGACTACTTCCCATGTTATAGTATTAGTTGGTCAGATTATTAGTCTCCTCACTGTGAGGCTACACCACCAAGGAATATGAACACACACAAAAAAAACCCTAAACAAGAACTACATAAAAGCTATATTTTGATTTTCTAAAGGGGCTTTGTCTCAACTTCAATTAGAGCACTGTAGATTTATAACACAAAATGCACAAGTATTGTTTAACATACTTAACCTGTAAAAATATTTTTCCATAGAAGATGTTTTCTTGCTCACTTCCCAATAAATAGAGGCTTTCAATTGAAAGCATTTATCTTCCTAGTTATCTGAAGTGGAATCTCGGGGGGGGGG